TATCCTTTCTCGCCTTGACTACTCCTTGCTGTTATTTTGGCATTGAAGGAATGGTGCCATCTTTTAGAAGGTACTCCAACTCCAATAACTGTATATACAGACCTATATTATACAATAACTGTATATACAGACCTATTATAGTCCTATATTTGAGAGGCCAAACATCTGTCTGCCAGACAAGCTTGGTGGTCTCTTTTCTTGACAAGTGCATTGAATATATGTTATACGGCAAGCCTTTGCAACAATACTGAAAGTGTTACAACTTTAGAGATACATCATTATACATGGAGATTGTTATCAATGCATAATATCATACCAATTTCTGGAAATTGTCTAACTGGCAGTTGCCCTATTGAGCCAACCACCACTTAGGATACATTTTGGCTCTATCTTGTTGAGTCCCTGAAAAAGACTCAGTGGACAGTTTGAGTCCTGCACCAGTCAATTATTATACTGCTTACTTTTTAGACTTATTATTATTATTTTTTCATTAGTCTATAGTGTTATGAGCCAACCACCACTCAGGATACATTTTGGCTCTATCTTGTTGAGTCCCTAAAAAAGACTCAGTGGACAGTTTGAGTCTTGCACCAGTCAGTTATAATACTGATTATTTTTTAGATTTATTATTATTTTTTCATTAGTTTATAGTGTTATGAAGCCCAAGTTCTGGGACCTTTTTATAGGATAGTATTAAAAGTGACGTTTTAATTAATTAATTATCTTCTCAGGTTATTCCACACTCTCTGCATACATTATGTGCAATTACCTCCAATTTTCTTTTTCTCTCGGTTACATTCAAATTACCCCCATAAGACGGTACTAGCTGACTATTTGGCTCAATTTTCTCTCCTTTCACCCCCCCGCCTTTCCCTTTTTACCTTTACAAGTATTACTTTTCTTGACCAGGTTTAACTATGTGCTGAAATATAGACCTGGATCAAAAAACTCCAAGGCTGATGCGTTGTCCAGACAGTTCGAACCTCTTGCATGTCCTGAGACCAGTATGACTCCTGTAGTTCCTTATCAAAGTATTATTGCTAATACTAGAATAAATATACAGTCTCCACTGGCTTCGGACATTTGTTCCAAACAAAACCTAGTTCCTAAGAATCTTCCTGAGGGCAAGATATACGCTCCTCCTGAACACCAGAAAGAGTTCTTGTTTTGTTTCCATGATAGTAAAATCACAGGTCACTTAGGTATACGCAAAACCTTCAATTTGATTTCGAAGGAATACTGGTGGTCGACTATGCGTAAAGACTTTAAGGATTATATTTCCGCTTGCTGGATATGTAACAGAACCAAATTGTCTCATACTCTCCCTTATGGGTTACTGCCACCTATCAACATACCCAATAAACCTTGGGCAAGCATTGCCATGGATTTCATAGTTGAATTTCCTATGTCTGAGAGAATGACGGTAATTCTAACAGTAGTGGACAGATTCACGAAAATTCACACTTCATTCCATTACCTAAGTTGCCTTCCTCTCTGGAATTTGCTAAAGTCTTTTCTAAAGAGGTAATCCGTATACATGGGACAAGAAATTATCTCTGACAGAGGTTCTCAATTTGTGTCCAAATTCTGGAAAGCATTTTTTTCACAGATGGGAATTTCACTTAAATTCTCTTCCTCTTATCATCCTCAAACTAACGGGGCAGCAGAAAGGTTTAATCAAAGAGTAGAACAATATTTACGTTGTTTTGTCTCTGCTCACCAAGATGAAGGGGTTGGCTTGCTTCATTGGGCCGAGTTTGCCCTAAATAATGTGATTTCTGATGTGACTCAACAATGCCCCTTCCTATTAAAGTATGGTATTCACCCTGTGGTCCTTCCATCAGCATTTTCTTCATGGGGATTGCCGATGGTGGATCAACATATTGGGGACCTAAAGAAAGTCTGGGAGCAAGTTCAACAATTGCTGGCTCATAAATCGTCCCTTGATAAAAAGCATGCAGATAGGCGTAGACTTGATGTCCCTGTATAATACCTGGGTGATAAGGTCTGGCGTATTGTATTGAATTGCCTCACTCCTTTCGCATCCCCAATGTTTTCCATGTATACTTATTGAAACCCTTGACGTGTAACTGGTTCACTAGTCCTGTGGTACCCCCTTATCTGGTTCAGGTGGAGGACCAGGAGGAATTCGTGGTCAGTGCTATCCTGGACTCACGGATTTCTAGGGGTTCTCTTTAATATTTGGTGGACTGGAAGTGATAAGGTCCTGAGGATATTTCTTGGGTGGCTGGTTCTGACATTCATGCGCCCCGCTTGGTCCGTTCATTCCACTCTCGGTTTCCTAACCACCCTGGCTCTTCCCGCCCGGTATTCAATCCTCGAGTTGGGGGTACTATCAGGTTACCTTTATGTATGAGTCAGGAGCATGTCACAGGCTGGCATCTTATTGCAGGGTACTGGGGACACTCCTACTTACTTTCAGCTTGTCCCTAGTGATTCTCACACCAGCCGCAATAAATCCGCTCCCCCTTTTATGACGCGGCTAATGAGTGCCGATGTTATGGTGCTAAGAACGCCATGGCCCGTCAAGGTGTTCGAACAAGAACATTTTGGGGGCTTCGTTACCGACCTAAGTGAACACTATATTTAAGTATAAACCAGGGAGAGACTCATTGCCCTGTTGTGGTTCTTGTTTGACTCAAGAGCGCGTATTCTGTATTGATATTCTTGTATTCTGACTTTGGCTTCATTTAACTATTCCTCCTTCTGTGTTCCTTTGACCTCGGATATTGCATTATCGTTGATCCTGATTTCTGGTACCCCTGACCGGGGGGGAGCAATGTAATGAACTGTCCCCCCAAAGATCGCTCTTCCTGGTGCTACCCACGTGGAGAAATCAACCAGGGAGAGGCGCAAGCCCTAGCCGACACTCTGCAACTAGCAGGTGGCTTCACAACAGCAGAGTCCATGCCGACTAATGGGAAAAGCGCTACCATTTAAATTGGTTTTGCGCCCTTTCTCCAGATTGGTCAGCAAAACACCTCCCCTCCCTGAATGCTGATTGACCGCTACATGTGTGCGCCCTTTCTCCCGATTGGCCGGCAAAACACCTTTCCTCCCTGGATGCTGATTGGCAGATACATGTTCGCGCCTTTTCTCTGGGTTGGCCGCTGCATGCACCGGCCTAAACCAAGTAATCTTGTGGAACTGTTTTCAGGTATGTACAGAGCCTCGAGCCCAGACTTTACACGATGATTTCTCGGGCTCTATACATCCGATCATTTTGAGGGAGCATAGCTCGGACAAGGGGCTATCAAGGGATATAGGGCATGAGGGGATGCATTACTGTGTTCTGTGTAATTTGTGGGTTTCTTGTGTGTCGGCTTCCAGTGCATTATCATTGGATAATATGTTTATAATGTATTTAACCCTTTGGGGTACATGTTATTTGTTTTTTTCTTTGACTATTTCAATATCCTTTCTTTGCTGCTGAGGAATAAAGAAAGAGATAAAGCATAATACTCGCCTCTGTGTCTTTAATAAAATTATGATTTTAAGTCATGAAATTAGTAAAATCTGGTAATTACATTACATAGTTTCATAGGCTGAAAAGGTTCAGCCTTTCTAACATCAGTTTTTGCTGTTGACCAATTGCTTTCCAATTTTGCAACATACTAGGAAAAATCCTTCTCAACTCCAGAATGGCAGTCACACCTCTGCTTGGATCAAAAAGCTGTTACCCCACTTATTTAAAATTATATCCCTGATTATTATGTTTTTGGAAATATTCATCCAGTTGCTGTTTAACCCCTTAAGGACCAAACTTCTGGAATAAAAGGGAATCATGACATGTCACACATGTCATGTGTCCTTAAGGGGTTAAACATCTGTACCGACTTCAATAAAACTAGTCCTTCAGGCAGAGAATTCCACACCCCTATTGTTCTTACTGTGAAGAACCCTTTCCTTTACCTTAGATTTCCTTTCATCCAGTCTAAATGGGTGACCTTGTGGCCTATGTATAGGCCAGTTTATGAATTGAATTTTAGACAAGGGTTTGGATTAGCCCCGAATATATTTGTATAATGCTATCATATCCTCTCTAAGGCGCTATTGTTCTCAACTAAACAGATCTACATTTGTTAACCTTTCTTTATAACTTTAAAACTCATTCCTTTTATTAAATTTGTAGCACTTTTTCTAGTGCTATAATATTCTTTTATGCTTCATTAGGAAAAGGACGTTAGAGATGAATTCCCAGTCCTGGAATGAAATAGCAGTGAAAGTACCAATTGCTGGGGCCTCAACGGTAGGCCCATGAATTTTGGTCATCGGATGGGTATTGCTGAACAGGGGCCTATCAGCCTCAGCCAGCAGCAGCAGGACCCCTGCCTACCTAAAACCCAGAAGCTCTCTGCCATGGTAAGTAGCCAAACCAATTACCTGATGTTCTCAGCCAATGACATGACCCTGTACTGCCCGACTTAGCTAAGGAGAACTAACAGAAGCTTTTAGTTCTAGTTTCTGGTTTTCAATACAGGAAAAGGAGAGGCACCATAAAATCCAGAAAATTAAACATATAGTTTGAAATCAGAAAAACTTGCTCAAGTACCTATATTCTGTGCAGGTACCAATGGGATTCACAAACAATTGTTAAATTCACCAGATTGGAATAGAACAAATGCTATCTTTGGGAGTTTCACATGCATTCAAATATATAGTATATTCTTTAAATCTTAATGTCCTCTGTTCTTGACCACATCCCACCACTAACAAGTTGTGGAGATTGCAAGAAAATATTGCTCCCACACTTATAGAATAAGAATAAAATAACAATGTACACAGTGCACCCAAAGGTGTTGAATGAAAATATAATATATATAGCTTATTTATAATTTACAATTAACATTATATTGCTGTTAAACAACATCTACCCATAGTTTAGTTTGTACAGGGATGGTTTTGGAGCTTCAGTTTGGTTTTACTTTGACCAGTGACTATGGGGATTTTTACATAGTTTTATCTTGCTACAACTTTGTCTACATTTGGTGGTCCATGGATGTTCTATAGATTCTTTTGTGCCATTTTTTCATACCCAGCATTTAAGCATGCCCTACCATGTCTTCTCTAGTTCTCAAGCCTCAGTATCTGGGCCTCCAGTACAAACTGGTTGTACTGTGTTTTAAAATTCCACTGTGTAAGACAATTCTACTGCATATAACCACTTTCTACACTTTATTTAATTTCACAAAGTATTGTGTTTATATATTGATGTAATATAAACATGTAGAATTTTTATCCTGATGAAAGATCTGCTGGAAATCTGAAATGTGTCGGATTAAACACAGGGTCCAATATTTTTTGGTGCCAAGCTTAAAGCTCATCATTCATGCCTTATAGGGGTTCTAAAAGAAAAAAAAAAAAAAAAAAACTCAGTTTTGTAAATCTGATGAATTATCTTTCTGAAAAACATACATTGATAGATAATGTATTTTGATTGGTCCTTCTTTTAATTCCTAGAAACTCTTCTTACCGCTCTAGTCAGCATTGTGTAAATGACTGCTCAGAGACTCCACCAATCAACGGCCATGCTGTAACTTTGTCTCTTAAAGATCATAGGAGCCATGTAGTCTAGTGGTTCATTCTCCATATAAGATTCCTTAGAACAGGACAAAATATAATTGTCTTTAAATTGAAGATAGCTATTTCCTGTCATTAAGTAACATTTTCATACACGTGTCAGAAAAGTGTGCATTCTCACTGTATGTTTAAAGGACCACTATAGTGCCAGGAAAAAATACTTGTTTTCCTGGCTCTATATGGTCCTTGGGTCCCCTCACCATCTGGGCCACCCTCCCGCCGGGCTGAAGGAGGAGGAAGGAGTTAAAATCTTACCTTTCTCCAGCGCTGGGCTCCCTCTTCGGCTGAATGTACATGCTTTCCTATGGATGCTGGCGTCTTCTCACTGTGAAAATCACAGTGAGAAGTGCGGAAGCGCCTGTCAATGAGACAGCCACTAGAGGCAGATTAACACATTTGTAAACATAGCAGTTTCTCTGAAACTTCTATGTTTACAGCAGAAAGGGTTAATCCTAGATGGACCTGGCTCCCAGACCACTTCATTAAGCTGAAGTGGTCTGGGTGCCTATAGTGGTCCTTTAAACATATTTTTGCATAGTTTCTATTAATTTCATTCTTTTATTGTTGCCTGGGCTCCAATATGGATATAAATTAGTTACAAGGACCCCTTGTCAGAGAGTTTGTTAATTTGTGTTCCAATACACAATTGGATTATGTTTGGCTGTGACTAAGGTTAAAGGTGGAGTTTATATAGGATCTCTATTATCTTTTTTTTTTTTGTACAATCTTTATTTTTTGTTTTTATTTTGTTTTTATTATATTTAGAGATAAATAACAATAGAAAACTGTCAGTTACAAAAGTTAAAAAAAAAAAGCATAGGGCAGAACGGACAGTACAAATGCAGGATCTACAATCTTAATTAAGGCTAGATATAAACATTAGGTTTATCAACATATATAGGAGAAACTAGTGGCCTTAGGAATATCGAGCCTCCTTTGGGAAAAGGAAAAAAGAAAGGAAAATAATTATTAAAAAAAATAAATAGCAATGAAAACCCTTATATTCAGGGGAGTGAGTATGTATATAATTGAACTATGAATACAAGGTATACTGTAAGGGAGAAACCATGGAAAGAGAGTAGGACTGAAGTACTAGGTTGCTTTACACCCCCAAAATCCCCGCCCCGACCCATCACAGGACGTTTTTACACATTCTAAGAGTGCATGTTTTTTTATACTTGTTAAAATTTGACTAGATGAAAGGGGCAATATAGCAATTTTTACATATTCAAAGCCTTAATGGCTGTTTTGGAATCAAAGACACATTTGATAGCCTTATGTTCCTGTGCATCCAACTTGTCTGGTTACAATTACATGTTTGTTAGTCCACCCATTATAAAGCACTGCAGAATTTGTTGGTGCTATATAAAAAAAAAAAAAATAAATAATTTGATTTGCTTTATGTTACATTTTATATGTTTAAAACTAGGATTGATGTTACAGAGCTATGTTGTACTTAGTAAGTGAGCCCTTCATTAAATTATCAGAATGTCTAGTATAAAAATACAATAAATTTTACCTTCAAACTAAGACCGAAGTCAGTAATTTTTATGAATCCTTCCGGTTCTACAAGTATATTTTCTAAATTTAGATCTTTAAATTGAGGTGTAGAAAACGATAATTTTTACATAACAATAGGTGACACGTAAATATTGATATGATTGGCTTTTTTTGTTTTGGCTTTTTAAAAGGTTAAATTTAAAACCCTAACATAGAAAAATAGGTTTATACATACACGACACTGGATATATCACAAAAATAACTGCACACTACACCTTTAGTTTTGTCTCTAAACTTACTTGTAGATAATCTTTTGTGCGCGCAAATATTCCAGGCCAAGCTCAACACAAGCAGCAAATAATCTGTGAAAAAAATTGTCAGTTAAGTTTGAGAGAAGAAAAAATGCAATGTTTGTATTACTGAAAGGTTATAATCCACAAATCTTGTGTTACTCTAATGTCTGACAAGGAATAATGTCCCAAGTTGATTATGCAAATGCAGAAATATAAAATTCTATCTTTAGAATTGCTGTATAGAATGTAAAGAGTGTGAGTCCCTGAAAGAACCAGGTAAGTGTCAAATAATGATTAGCTTTTCCAATAATCTAACCAGACTTTATGGAATGTATAGCCCACCTCATGCCAGCAGCTGACAAATGCTGTATTGCAGGTTTAGCTATATGGTCACAATGCTGCTTATACACAGCTCTGGTAATCCACCATTGTTGTAGTTAACATTTGAAAAAAGGTCCCTGCCGGGGGTGTATTAAAAGACAATGCAGGCATGATGTGTGGTCTGCAAACACCCAAACAAGTTGACCAGAAATGGTGCTCACAGATAGAAATATGTGCTAATCACACATACAGATTTAAAATGGAAAGGAACAATAAGTAAATTCTTTCCATGCTCTCCAAAAAACACACGACAAATAAAATAATAATAAAAAAAAAAGATATTGGATTGCTCTCCATTTACTGACCGATGGACATTTTTGTTGAAACTATGTCTCATTTGTTTCCCAAGGTTTTTATGGCATAGATTTTCTTTGTGTCTTTGTATTCAGCAAACAGTACCTGAAATAAAAAACAAAGAAGGTTATGTATAAAAGTGTTGCAGTCACATTTTACTTTGTCTTGTTCTTATCTTGTGCTTATTTAGTCCAGTTTGGTGCAGCAGAATGTTTGCTCCCTATCAATTGTTTCTAGTTTACTTTTTTATGTCATTTGTTTTTTTTAGACCACAATTTTATTGCACTTGATATATAAAAATACATTTACGCCATTATCATTAGGGAAGATGATTTTGTCCCAATAAGCAATTGCTAAGGAGGAAAATAAATTTAGCCTTCTACCGTGAAATGTGTGTAAAAATGTTTTTTTTAAATATAGACATTTATACATATGGATGTGGTACATATGGAAAATGTTGACACTGTAAACACTTTGAAACATAAATGTAACTTGAAAATATCTTGTTTTGCACTGCATTGGTTAAGACAGCTTTTTCTTTTCTATAATCCTTTATTTTTCTAGTGCAGGGAAAATACACACTGTTGGATAAATGACAACAAATGAAAACAACATTAGTATCAATCAAAGAGGTATACAGTATGCCACAGATGCTGCACTGTTTTATATTAAGAAACAATCATGCTTAGTGGGCCTGCCTCAATGTGAAACAAGGTATGTGCCTGAAAATCAGAAAAAAAACTTTTGTCAGGCTCATAGATTACCAGAAAGCAATAGGGTAGGAGTAAAAACAGGCTAGTACCTTAACTAGCATAATGATACCGCTGGGATCTGATTAGTACTATATGAGTACAAACACAAAACATGTAGCTTAAACAAGCTTACAACATGAATAATAGAGCAGAGATTTTAAATAGCCATCAATCTAATCATACTACTATAGACATTGTGGATGATGCGAGAGTAGCCACCAGCTTCAGTTATCCTATGCCGGTAATGGACCATTTCGGAAAGTCCAGCGCCAAGCCAGGTATATTGTCCCCTCCTGCTGCTTGAGGACAGGACCGGTGTTGTCTGTGCCATGTAAGTTGTGGACTGCAGCGCTGCAGGTCCCCGTCTTCTCTGCACTGGACTGTGGTGGGAGCTTGTACCTTGTGTCCATGGATCATCTGACGCCATGTGGCAGGACCATGTGCCTGCAGTATCCTGATCTGGAGCACTCCACGGGTAGATAGACAGTGGTATGGCGTTATCCCCAATTCGGCTCTCAACCTAGAATTGGATCTGGTGGCTGTATCTGCGTTACTGGTAAGGTGTGCATCGAGAGGGGGGTTTAGTGTAGCTCTGTTGGCTGTGCGGTGCCAAAACTCTTGACAGATTGCTTAGAATTTTGCCTCAAACTGGACCTTTCACTCCTGATCTTCCAGGCCCTTTCAGGTTTGCATGGATTCCTGAACGGCGGCCATCTTTGTGGTGCCGCGTGGGCACAGCATGTGGCTGTCTCAGCAGTTAGATAGATTAGTGGCCCCAGGATAACCCCCGGAGGTCCATGGGGGGAAGGGTGATACAGGGCTGCGTATCTGCTTCGTGCCACGCTCCTAATGCCAGGAAATCGGCCACTTGGCCCAGCCGTCGGTGCGCCAAGCGCGGTAGGCCTCTGCCACAGACTTGTAACATGCACCGGGGCACTTCAAATCAGGACTGGAGTGATGCGCTAGGCTTTACCATCACCCTCCTGTAGCTTGGATGCAGTGTGCAGGTAAGTCCGTTTAAAACAGGTAGTTTGCTTGTTAAGTGTCAGTAGCTACATGACAGCGGGCCGGCCATCTTGGCTACCAGACCCTGCCCCAAGACAGCTTTTTCTAACTGCATTTCAAATTCAGTCTTAAACTTACTTTTCCAAATTGTCCTCTATTCAGCACATAGTAAAGCTGGAATTCCTTCTGGCGCTAGAAGGACCCTTTTATTTGGTTCCATTATTGCTGCAGGGGTTACGTTTGGAGCAATGATTTAAGTATAACATGGATATACATAGTTCCATGAGGATGGTGGTCTTTGGTGCATTAGGTTGTAATGGTGGGTCTGAAACATATTCCTCCAAAAATAAATGTAGCAGAGAAAAGCAGAAAAATAAAGAGGAAGCAGGGTATGTTGGTAAGAGAAATAGAGAAGCAGTGGATGTGGGAGATTAATGATGAAGAAGCAGGGGATGCAGTGTCAGAGTGGTGGTAATTTTAGAGTCAGAGACTTTAGTTATTGAAGCTCCTGTATCTGAAGCTGCAGAACAAATTGGAGAATAAAACGTAATGGAAATTTTTTACATATTGGACTACGGTTGTACTTCTTTTATAGTTGACTACAGAAGTCACATTATATGTCGTACGTTTTTTACTATTGGCAAATGAAGCATTAAAAACAAAAGGGTCAGACATGTTATCAGCATTCTTCCTAAATATAATGAATGGGTGTGATTGTGGATAAGGCAGTGAATGTGTTTATGTAAGTTTGCTTACAATATTGTAGAAAGCATTATATGCCACAACACAGTTATGTAAATGTTCGTTAATGATAAAGTTTTGTGTTAGTGTGGAGGAAAAACAATATGTCAGTGCATAGCTTTACCTATGTCAGTATGCTCACTGTGTCCTGAATACTGATGTAGATCACAATGTGAAGGTGTTGGAGCTGGAATGGGAGTTGTCTCCAATGTAAAAAAAAGTAATATCAGTTACTGGAAGTGGAACAGTTGTTTCATCTTTATTAATAGACTTTTCTTGATAAATTAGCGCTTATAAATGTTCTATTTTATTCTCGCTGTCTTGAAACATTTCTTGTACTACAGCAAGATTTTTGTTAGGGCTTCTAGAATACTCCAGGATCACATTGTCTGGCCCCTGCTTCACCTCGAGCTTAATTTCCAGCTTTTCTTACAGAGCAGTTAATGCCCATTGTCTGCATGGGCACTGATGTCACATTCAAGGACATCTGAGGTTTTGGAACATTCTGAAAAATTGGTAATAAGACAAATCTCAAATTAGAAATGTTGGTAGACATTATCACTCAAGTGAAGATTAATAAAAGAGACAAAAACATTCAAAGGTGTACGTAAAGTAATTATAGTTGACACAGAAAACAGACTAAAGTCCATCAAGTTCAACCTTGAAACCTATTTTATTATGCAGCTGATCCTAAAGAAGGTAAAAAAAAGATTTGTAGACAATTCCAATGATGCCACAAAAAGTGGGGAAAAAAATTATTCTTGACTCCATAATCCAATCAGATTTCTCATTGGATCAAGAACCTGCTTACATACATATCAATTATATCCATGAATATTCTGTATATGCAAAAAAGCATCCAAGCCTCTTTTAAAAATACCTGTTGAATCTGATAAGACAACCTCCTTAGGCAACAAAATGTCACATCTTTATTGTTATACTGTAAAGAACACTTCCCTGTGCTGTATGCAAAATATACCTTTCTTCCAGGCTCAATGGGTGACCTCTTGTCTGTTGTATATTTCTGCTAATGAACCAGTTAGCACATAGCTAGTTGTTCTGACCATGCATATATTTGACCGTGCAGGCGTCAGAATTTCAGATTTTTGGCCAATCCAATGCTCTCTCAGGGAAATCCCTATAGGGATTGGCTGAAATTGGCAAGGAGGTGAGGTCAAACACTGTTTTTTTTTTAGAATCAATGCATCTCTATGAGGGAAATTGTGTTTCCACGCAGAGCAGCAAAGACGTGTAATGGCACTGCTGCCTACTGTGCAGCATTGCCCCAGGAAGCACTTCCAGTGGTCATCTGAGGAGTGGCCACTTGGCGGTGTCCCTAGGGAACAATGTAAACACTGCCTTTTCTCCGAAAACCCACTGTTTGCATGAAAATGCCTGAGGGCAATGATTATACTCACCAGAACAACTACATTAAGCTGTAATTGTTCTGGTGATTATAGTGTCCCTTTAAACTGGTTCAGGTAAACAGGAAGGAATCAGTCCATAGGAGTAGCCGTAAATCAAGTAGAGTAATCAAAACGGGGTCAGAGACTGTGAATTATATCGATAGGTTAGCGAGGCAGGAGTGTGGATAAAGTAGGGGTCAAGGAGTGAATATTGGGTCCTGTGGTTGAGGATCCTGAAAGGAAAGAGCAATGAAGTTCGACACATTAATAGTGCACTGAGGAACTGATGGCGTGCGTCTAAATACACAGCAATGTCCATCAGTAACTCTCTTAAAGTAACATATAATTGATTCCGATATATCAAACTAATTTTGTAGCTCGCCTTGGCACTTGTAGTTCTGCAATATCATTGTTTAAAGAGGGTGCCCGAAATTGCACTGCATATTCAAAGTAAGGTGTTAACATTGTTTTATAAAGAGGCAAAATTATATTACACCATACTAGCTTTTGCAACGGCAGATCGGCATTGCATACTGTTGCCTAGTTTGTAAACTATAATTGTTCCCAAGTCATTTTCATTTAATGATATCCCTAAATATTTTTGGTAATTAACTCTTACCCTATACAACACTACCCTTATGCTTGCATTTACTCTAATTGTTTACCTACCCTAACCTTAACCCTACACAATCCCTAACTTACCACTAACACTTATAAAATCAGGGAGGAGATTTACCGTTAGCTCCACCTAGCTATCAGGAGTTGCAGGAGCGCTGGGCCAGAGCTCACCTGGTTACCCACTTCTCAATGAGCTGTGAAATACTATGCACGACAACTTACACTTACATATTGTAACTGCTCCCAACATGGGAGCACACGTGGCCGCATACGGCGAGTGCAGCCACACTACTGTTCCTCTACTTACCTCAGGCGCAGCGGATCACAGCCCAGTCTGCCTGTGCTGCAGCCCCCTGTGAGGGTGGTGTTCTAATGGACGCCGACCGCTGTTTTCCTGCAGGGTTACGTAATCCAGCCTCCGGCCAGGTTAAGGGTCATACAAACATGCGTGCATCGTGGTCATTGATGCACACACACATTTTGGAATCACATGACTCATTCTAGGCCCTAAAAATAAATTTAGGCCTATTTAAACAGTCAGTTACTGTTTTTCGTTGCCCTGTCGTGGTTTCAACTAGTTGGTTATCTGAGAGCGCATTCTTTGAAAGTGTCTTCAGGTTTTTGATCTTGGCTCATTCCTGACAATACTTATTTCTGGTATCATTGAACTTTTGGCTTTGTCTATTTGTTTATGCTCCTGTTTGTGTTCCTTACTATTTTTTACATTAAATCTGGCAATACTAAAGCCTGGTAATAAGTTTATTTTTCTTTTGTATTGTTTTCTTAGTTTTGCGTGTTGGGCCACTGTATCGTCCTGATACATTGTATACTTAACAAGGCAACGCTACAGCTAAAAAAACACAAGTCACAATATCCTTAATAAAATCAATATTTTATGAGAACAGAAGATGGATACAAGCTGTATGATAATACCTCTTACCTCCCCTTAAAGGACCACTCTAGGCACCCAGACCACTTCAGCTTAATGAAGTGGTCTGGGTGCCAGGTCCAGCTAGGGTTAAACCTTTTTTTTTTTTTTATAAACATAGCAGTTTCAGAGAAACTGCTATGTTTACAAATGGGTTAATCCAGCCCTCAAATCCTCTAGTGACAGCCGCTAGAGGCGCTTGCGTGATTCTCACTGTGAAAATCACAGTGAGAACACGTAAGCGTCCATAGGAAAGCATTGTAAATGCTTTCCTATGAGACCGGCTGAATGCGCGCACAGCTCCTGCCGCGCATGCGCATTCAGCCCAGGAGGAGGATCGGAAGCGGAGAGGAGAGCTCCCCGCCCGGCGCTGGAGAAAGGTAAGATTTTAACCCCTTTCCTCCCCCCAGAGCCCGGCGGGAGGGGGCACCCTCAGGGCACTATAGTGCCAGGAAAACGAGTATGTTTTCCTGGCACTATAGTGGTCCTTTAAACTCCACATTTCACCAACATAATGTCTCACCCTCAAATAAATCATCACAAAAAAAAAAAGTGTTTAGAGGAACAATCACTTCTGGAAATTACACAGCTGATTAATATATTTTAACAAACCTTGTGTTAACTTTTTTTCTGTGTGTGATTCTCAATTTCCAGTTAAATGTATGTTAAAATAAATTACATCAGAATATTGATAGTCTGAGTTCAGCCACATTATACCCTGCAGTGGAGAAGAAACAGGAATGTTGGCATATTTATTCACTTACATAAAAATTGTTGGAAATTCAAAGTGAATTTCAAATTTAAGGCCAAAATAGCTGGACTAGAAAAAGTTTTCTAACCCAATTTGCTTTCAGTTTGGCTGATTTGGCCTTTAATTTGAAATTCACTTTGAATTCTATTTGAATGCCTGCCAATTCTTACTTTAGCAAATAACCCTATACTTTTTGCATGAAACGTGTTGTGTTCACATTCAGATTCTGGTGCTTTTCTTTTTTTAACCATATTTTTCACCAAAATATTCCTTGCCACAACTTGACTGTCATTCTATTTTACTGTTCTATTTCCGCTCTTTTTTTGCAGTTGTAGTATCAGTTATGCCTGTAAATTACTATTGCAATGCAGTGCATTCATTGGGAAGTGAAAAAAAGGTATTGCTTCACTTTAAGTACATTTTCGCTTTACATACATGCTCTGGTCCCATTGTGTACTTAAAAGTAGGGTATGCCTGTACAACTAATTAAAAATTCATGTGCAGTTCCAGCAAAGAGGCTTCTAAATAAGAAGCATCCGATTGGTAAAGCATTTCAGTCTGTGCCAAGAAAAGAGGGGAGGACTTGTAAATATTACTTTTTCATGGTTCTTATACTCCCAAGTAAAACATGCCAGAAAAAAGCACATGCATGTTTTCATTGGATCTCTAAGAAACAAGGTTAAAGGAGCACTTCACCTATTGGGTTTTATATTCTCTTTCATTGGTTTGGTGCTTAGAGTCTTCCTTAAAGAACCAGTTACTTTTAAAACGGCAAACAATATATTTATACAGTGGTCTAAATTTTTTAATTGCTAATGCTAAACTGCAAAACAGCATCAATATTGTAAAAAATAAATAAACTATATATATATATATATATATATACTGGTCTCCTATTTGGCCCTATAAAATAACAAAAACTTGGCTTATAAGGATGTATTGATGTGTGTAATATACAGTAGGTTTATGTGACACACCGCAATAAAGAATTGTATGTGGAAAATGAATATAGCAAATTTAAAATGTATACGTAGACAGAGAATAAATATATACTCAGGAAGTATAGGTAGGCACAATTTACTGTTTAGATAACAGTTGAAATTTGTAATATCCTTACAGAAGCAAATACGTGTTTATATATTAGGCATGTGGCAGTGTGTAACTAAACGTACATTCTGCCCGAGTTCCGCCGAGATTCCAATTCCCTCATGTCATTCCATGAGTCCCATCTCCCCCCCTCCTCGCCAGGCGCGCCTCCTATTCAAATCTTCCCGCCCAGCAAAGCTGGCTGCAGTGACGTCAACAGCAGCCTCATCCCTCCCGCCCTCCGTACTGGCCCTCCCCTCAGCGCGCGACCTGGTATTTGAATCCAGCTTCCGCCATTTTCTTTCGCTTCCTCACAGACGCTTCTGGAAGGTGAGAGCTGATTTCAGCGAGCCCTGCCATCCGCCCTCCCCCCATCCTCAATCCTCCCCGCATCGCCGCCATCCCCGGCCCACCGGACTCGGCTCCGTCTCTCAGCCCCAGCAGTGCCGTAGCGCCGCCGATCCCCGTAGCTCTGGGCGGGATCCGTGCTCGGTGAGTTGGACGGGAGCGGCAGCCGTCCTGTGACGGGTCGCGGGAGGGCTGCGGCGTTGGCGCGCTTTTCTGCCAGCTCCCCTCCCGATCCTCCCCTGTCAGTGTCCGGCTCACTTACCGCTCGCTGACCGGCTGACACCTACCTCCCCGCTACCGCTGGCCCCGGCTCTAGGCCCAGCCAGTCGCTGCTCCCCGCGGACGGGCCTCCTCCCACCCCGTGACTAGACACTTACACCGTGCGGGCACGAGGCGGCTCAGCTGCGCATCTGACGCTGTGCCCTGTAATAGTGCGGCTGCGGATTCCCGCCATCACCGGGGGGGGACACGGGGGGGGGGGTGACCGACCATCATTCCCATTATGGGGAGACAGGAAGCACCCAGCCGCCATTACTCCCCATTCATACCGCGTGTGCTGATAAATGGCGCGAGCTTTACACCCCCTCCGCCACCCAACCCCGAGAGTGCTCACACGGGGCGACACTTCCCTGCTGTTAACCCTGTCATAGCCAGCCCGGAGGGAGCTTCTTTGTGTCTTCAGTGTTGGCTTTTTCGTTAGACTGGTTGATTGTGAGAACTTTTACCTCTTTGGTATCTTGTCACGTTTTACAGTTTAAAATACTGTGTGTATGTGTGTGTGTATATATATATATATATATGATTTATTTTCAGGCGAAAAGCTGTTCACAATAGTTTCACCTTTTGTGCCAGGTGCATGAGGTGCACAAATGGCCTATTTTCTAAACTCTGTAACTTTGCATCTGTGAGGTCTGATTTCTGTAAGACTTTGTTTACAAAACAAATGTAATAGTTTGAAACAACTTTATTCAATCCTAATAGCTGTGGTGTGGATTACTGATTATGCAAATACATTTGGCAATGTGATGATCTTGGTAAATATAACTTAATTTTACTTCAGAGGTTTTGTTTGGTTCTCACCAAAATACTTTCTAGCTTGGAATAGTGTAGGGTAGACCAGTGTTTCCCAACCCAGTCCTCAAGGCACACCTACCAGTCCAGGATTTAGGGATTACCCAGTTGTGTCTAAGGTGTTTTTTTTTTTTTTTTTTTTTTTCTTCTTTGTAAAAACACCTTAGACACAACTGGGTCATCCCTAAATCCTGGACTGGTAGGTGTGCCTTGAGGACTGGGTTGGGAAACACTGGGGTAGACCACCACTTAAAGTATGTGTGTAATTAGATGCTAACGAAATACATAGTGAAATATCTGAAGTCTGTTTTGTGACCATACTTTGTCTTTAAAACTGCATATATTCTTCTAGCTACACATGCACAATGTCAGAAAGTCTGTAGGCCATGTGCATGACTTGTTATATCAAGCGTGTACTGATGGTAATCAATTTAATCTGTAGGTTGAAGCGGTTATTAAACTCTCCTGGCACCATAATAACTTCATCAAAGAGGTATGGTACCTGGAGGTTCCTGGCACACTTATTTTTTTGTTTTAATCTCCAAAGTTTCCTCTCCAGTGACTTTTGACTTTTCCTCACTATCTTATCAGTTAGAGGAAGCTAGGGACAGCTGCTCATTGGGGGTACCTTTCTCAGTCTGTGGGTTTTTTTTTTTTTTTTAATAGGGAGCTACTGATTGGCATACCACTCTAGTCAGCGTCACGGTTGTCAGTGGCGTCCTCTAGCTGATTTTCTGGAAGCGGGATATCAAGGAACAGCGCTTGAGACAACTTTGGAGTTAAACCGTTTCTAGGACCTCTTGGCACCATAATTTAACTTTGTTGTTTTGGTTCCCGGATGGTTCCTTTATATGTGAAACAATTATGCATGAGGAATAAAAGTAGGTGAGATATAGCCAAACTCTGACATGGTGAGGTGCTAAAGACCAGTTTTTCACCCCAGCTGAGATCGTCAATCCTGTTACAGTGGCTCCAGTGCCTATAGTGTCTCTACTGTCCCTACACCATAGCAAGACTGGGTATGGCAACAGAAACTTAATCAGACTGGTTTCCAGATGTACTGAAGACCACAGAAATGCACAATGTTAGTTGTTAATGCAGTGGTTTGCTACGGAAACTTAATGCATCATTGTTATGCACAGTATTGCCTTCAGCTCAGACTTGGCAATTGCCATTGGAACTCTGGTAGACCCTTCTACAGTCTGGCAAAGACAGGTCTGTAGAAAGGTTAAGCAACTCAACTGTAACCGCAACTGGGGTGCAGAAAGATAACAGCGGGTGAGCTGCACTCATAAATCCAAACTTTGGAATTTGGTTACCTCAGACAGGTTAGCACTCATTTAACTTGACCATTATAGTGCCCTGAGGGTGCCCCCTCCCGCCCGGCTCTGGAAGGGGGAAAGGGGTAAAAACTTACTTTTTTCCAGCGTTTGGCGGGGAGCTCTCCTCCTCCGTTCCTCCCCGTCGGCTGAATGCGCATGCACGACAAGAGCTGCGCGCGCATTCAGCGGTCGCATAGGAAAGCATTCACAATGCTTTCCTATGGATGCTGGCATGCTCTCACTGTGAAAATCACAGGCTTTGGGGGGGAAGGCTTAACCCATTCATAAACATAGCAGTTTCTCTGAATGTTTATAAAAGAATGGGTTAATCCTAGCTGGACCTTGGCACCCAGACCACTTCATTAAGCTGAAGTGGTCCTTTAAATATTTTAAGAAGTTCATTAGGTATGATAAATATTTTATTTTAAAACTGGATCAGTTATAGATACACTTTATTTTTTTTATTTTTTTTTTTATATAAATATTCGTTTGACTATTGTTCCTGAAGGACGGCATGACAAGTGCTGATTTTATAGATCACTTTTTATATAAATACATGCAGTGAGAATTAATTCATTGTTGTAAAGAATTTATAGATTCAATCTTTCAAGTTCATGGTTCTTCTCTAGCTCACACAAACATGTATTCCTGATCCGATAGTGTTAAACCTACCATTTAGGTGGTTTCCCCCAACCCACTTTGCTCCCTCAAAAGCATATAAAACTCTCCTTATTTCAAGTGCTGCGCTAGTCCGCCCCCTTGGTGACATCATCAGAATTGCCTTATTTTAACCAAACCAATGCTTTCCCATAGGGAAAGCATTGGATTGGCAAGGGGTGGAGCCAAGTGCCATTTCAGCCAATCAGCACCTCCTCGTAGAGATTCATTGAATCAATGCATCTCTGAGGAAAATTCAGCATCCCCATTCAGAGCATGGAGACGCTGAACAGCGGCACTGCCCCAGGGAAGCACCTCCAGTGGCCATCTGAGGGGTGAACCCTTGGAGGTGTTCCTAGGGGCAATGTAAACACTGCCTTTTCTCTGAAAAGGCAGTGTTTGCATTAAAATGCCTGAAGCCAATGATTATACGCACCAGAACAACATTAAGTTGTAGTTTGTTCTGGTGACTATAGTGTCCTTTTAATAGTTTGCTCTATTGCTGGGGGTACCAGGACTGGCTACTGCTCCCATAACTACTATAGTTGTCTCTAGTGGTTATGATGCTTGCAGTATTCCAAAACTATCTTTTTTTTTTTTGGCCACTCCCCTTTGACTAGCTTTGTGCTGTAGGAGGGTGGTTTCTGTGAGGCTGTATGATTTTTTTTTTTTTTTATGGCCTGTCAGCTCTGCAGTCCCCATAGAGCAGTCACTCTTTGGTGGCTTTGCTTGTGCTATCTCACTTATTAGTGAGTAAAAATGAATTATCGCACAAATATTTAACATTGGCGGGGGGGGTTGAAAATGTATAAAACTATTCCCAAAAGACACTTTTAGTCATAATACAAAACGCTGCTCTTGTTACAGCTGCCTCCCTCAGGTCTCATGCGTAGCTATGACATGACATCCAGGGAAAAGGAATATGTAAGCTGCCCTCAACCAGCATAGTGACTTTTTTTTTTTTTTTTTAAATGATGAATAGGAAAATATATTGAAATAGACATTACAGTGCCACTGTCTGCGTATATTGCATCATTTTGAAAGACCTCAGACTGTGACATTGCTGCTGGTGGCCGATAGCAGAGAAAGGTGAGGTTTACTTACCTTAACCTGTTCTTTACAGGCACTGTCATCCTCTTGTGCTGCTGCCGCCAGGGACAAATGTTGTTGCTGTACAATCAAGCATGCGCTAATATCTCTACAGCTTCTGACTTAATCCACTATCTAGAAGTGTCAGGAGTGTTTTAAAAAAAAAAGGGGAAATACACGTCCCTACTTTGTTTCATTATATCTTCTGATTGGGTTTCTGTGAATTTTTTTTTCTAAATATTCATTTATTTTTTTATTGTATGATGAAATTGCGAGTATGGGTGGGGGCTTAACTTATTTTCAGCTTTCCAAAATGTTCTCAGGAATTAGGTTTTACCTGTCAAATAGGATGATAATTGCAAATATCTCCCTTTACATGTCAGATCTATAAAAGAAGAAAAAAAAGTTGTATTCATTCATACAGTGCTGCTTTAACTGCACATGATAAATGGGTGCATAGATTTGGTTGGAGGGGGTGGTGTAGATTGACAAACTCCCTCTGCATGTTGACTGGGTTTTAATGCTGAAAGCACTGGGGATAAGTGGTCTATTATGTAGTTGTGTCTGCGTTTGCACGTGCTGACACTGAAAATCTGGCATTATGTATTTTTTTTTTTTTTTCTCCCAAGCAGACACAAACCATGGCAGCCCAAGGAGAACCTCAAGTGCAGTTTAAGGTAATTTAAGATTCTACATTTTAGCTGTATTTAATGTTTCCCTGATTATCTGTAGAAACTTGTCTAAACCTAACTTCTGTTGTCTTTTGGTTTGCCCCCCTCCTTAGCTTGTTTTGGTTGGAGACGGTGGTACTGGTAAAACAACATTTGTGAAGCGTCATTTGACTGGTGAATTTGAAAAGAAATATGTAGGTATGTACAATCTACATTTTTATTACTGCTTGGTTAAGTGGGATATTGGCAGTTGTTGATTTAAAAGAACACTCAAAGTGCCATAATTGGTAAGATATTTGTGGTTATGTTGCTTAGTGTTTCTTTAAAGACTTAGCAGTACTCTTATAGGAAAATAGAGTGTATGGCTGATCTCATTTCAGGATGTTATCACTTTCTGTTTGCACTAATATTTTTCTTAATCTGTGCCACATTTTTCTTACTTGCTCAATTCTTTATTTTAATTCCTGGTTGTTACCCAGTTGTCTTATTTTGTGAATATAACAAATGGTAAAATAAACGGTGAGGGGCAGGAATAAAGTGTCATTAAGGCTGATAGTTGCATTGCAATATAGGTTGAAAAAACAAACAAATGCATAATGGTGGCAAAACGGTTTTAAACATAAAATATGCATTTGCTATAAAGTCAATGCAACAATAACTTTTTTTTTTTTTAAATATAAAACTTCCTTAGTACCAAAAGTTGGTTTAACTGTTGCTGGAATGTAGCAACTTAACTTCTTTCCACTCTGGACCAACCTCTGACATCCAGGATCATGTGGGAAAGACCTCTCCTACTCCAGAGAGCGTAGCAGGAACAGCTCTTACAAGAGCTAGTAGTGATATAGCAGTTCCCCTCCAATCATGAGACAAGGCTACGTGTTGAGGGTAAAACAGGAACTCAATATTAATGGAGGCACACTGGCCTTTGATGCAAGTTTCCCAACAAAGGTGACGCCCAGGTGGACCTTGTTGGGAACAGGGACACAACGTTTACAAGCCAATAAAAACAATGTGACCATGAATGATACTCCCACATACAGTACACAATCCCTCCCCTCTGCCTGTGATAAAATTAAGGTAGATAATGGATTAATGTAATTATCCCCAAGCAGAAAAAAAACACATTTTTATTAAGTACCCCAAAACACAGCATAACCCCATAAATGTTACATCCCCTGATAACTCTGATCTGGGTGAACAACATATTCAGAAATTTTTTGAAAGTCATATTTTTGCACAGGCATGGTCCCATGCCCAAAACATGCCGAAAATAGTTCCAGGGCATTTGCGGCTAACTCCCCCTGAAGTCTACTTGCGGTTTTGGTCCATGTGAACAAGATGGTCGCCACCATGTGTTCGAATGGCGGCCACTTCTACTGTTCGGGAGTTTGAAGATCCATTTACAGTCCCAATAGCCACAAATAGGGATTCTCTACCAAAATAAATTAAAGGGGCCATAGTCACAGGATAAAAGGGCTAGCAAGTAGTCCCTTCCAAACCCCACACCTCGCTCAGAATATGTTCTAGTTTTCTTTAAAACACAAGATAAAGTAGGGACTATTTTGTCTTAATGTATTTTTCCTATGCCTGACATTCTCTGACAGGGAGCTAAGGTCCGTTCCATTTCCTGTGTCAGTTTTTTTCACAATACTAATCGTCCTCCTTTACACAGGAAATTGAGTTGACTTAAGCTCCTCTGTTTTAAAGCAAGTAAAAAAAAAAAAACCATAAGGCAAATTAGATGTATATGGTTTCATCTTGAAACATTACACATATTGAGTAATCTACACCTTTGTGTCTGGGGCAAGTTACACTTCCGCTATAGCGGTGACAAGGGCCCTTTCCACAGCTAATAAATGGGTAACAATTTATTTGCTTACCATAATCTCGCTCCTCCATTGACGTCAGCTCCAGAGTTTAGCCGAATGCAGAGTTTAGAGGCGCGCACTCATTCAAACCCGCCTATAGGAAAGGTATGTGTGCACATCATAGTACAGCAAAGGAAAGTTGTGCTGTATAAACACAGCAATAGGTTTTAGTGTTCAAGCAAAGAGGAAACAAGTGTATATAGCATAGTTTTGGTGATTTAGAGGTGTCAATATAAAAACTGCCTAGTTTATTCCTGTTGGCAAAATGCCAAGTAGAGGCACTTGTGCAACTCTTAAAAGAACAATGAAGGGGAGTTTGGGGTATTTTAACCCCTTAAGGACACGTGACATGTCATGATTCCCTTTTATTCCAGACGTTTGGTCCTTAAGGGGCTAAGCACAGCTACTGTAAAAAGCTTGTAACTTGTTTTCAGAAAACTAATGTACTAAATGTAGAACTGAATATAATATATACTACTATATAATTTTATTGTAAATTTGAGAAGATAGTCATGCACTGACTATAAATCACTTGCAAATTAAAATTTTGTTATTTTGAGAGATTTCACATACAGGAAATTGTGTATTGCTACTTTAGAGACTTGGAATTTCTATGGAACAAATGGCATGGCACGAGTGAAATGCCTCAATAGTATAGGGACTCTCAAACTACTTGCTGGAAAAAATTATTTATCATAGAAGCTTTTTATTTAAAAAACAAAAAAGCTTGTATACTAGGCATCCATTTAACCTTTTTTCCTTTACCCCAATAGCCACGCTTGGTGTCGAAGTTCACCCTCTGGTATTCCATACTAACAGAGGTCCTATTAAATTCAATGTGTGGGATACCGCTGGTCAAGAGAAGTTTGGTGGTCTGCGAGATGGTTATTATATTCAAGGTAAACTGTAACAATATAGATTATTTTCTTGATGTTGGCTCTTGAGTAGAGGTTAACTTAAAACAGTGGAAGATATTTAACACTTGGTCTTTTCTACAGATGATCTCGACTTTGGTTTTTCAGCAATATCCAGTTTTTGCAATTAAGTTTTTGTCCAATGCCTGAAATATGACAAGCTTACATGTAATCCATAGTGATGAATGCTCAAGTAGTCAATCTTCACTACTATATGGAAAGTCTGCTTATTCAAAGTAATCAACATATACAGCAGGGGCAGAGAGAAATAGTATACGTGATCATTTTCTTGATATTTGCTACTTTTCCCGTGTATTTCTATTCTGTGCATGCATGTCCTCTTCAAAGGCTGTCTTCTTCTTGTTTCCATAAACGCTATCAACATTACAACTTAATGCTTTCATGAGTTGATCACTGGCATGATTTACTACTAGGTTGTCAATAACCATGGTCTTTAATCTCCTGTTTTACAGCCCAGTGTGCCATCATAATGTTTGACGTTACATCCAGAGTCACATACAAAAATGTACCAAATTGGCATAGAGATCTTGTAAGAGTATGTGAAAACATCCCTATTGTCCTCTGTGGCAATAAAGTGGACATAAAGGACAGAAAAGTCAAAGCAAAATCAATTGTGTTTCATAGGAAGAAGAACCTTCAGGTGAGTTACTGGGTTTGCATGACTTTTAGTATGAGTTGTTAGGTTGTTTAACACTTGTTCATAACTAATGTTTGGGAAGTTTACTCTAAAAACATTTATTTTATTTTTTGTACAAAGCTGTAAGTACAGATTAATGGAACCATATAGCATTTGGAATACAGGTTTATACTACACACTAGAGTACCCTAGTCCCAAATTGGACTAGGGTGCAGCTGGGCCTTCCACTCGGCTGTTGCCTGTTCCACCTCTTCTAAAGTAATTGTGGGGGCATTGCTTCCTTGGCAATAATCCAATTCTCCTCATGGAAGAGCATTGTGGACAAGGTAAGTGCCACAGGCATCCAATCAAGTGTTTCTCAAAGCAATTCATTCGAGGCTTTTCTTTGAGCTGCAGATGTTCAACGTCGTCCTGGAGTTTCACTGGGTTGTTGCAGAGAAAGAGTCCATAGTGGATGCCTGGAAGACAGCCATCATATTTGTGTTTGGCCCTACAATATAAACATTGCAGTTTCTCCAATACACTGCAACGTATTACATTGTTGTGTTTAAAACTATATGGTCGCTGCACTTTGAGATTTAGTGGTCCTTTAATCTCATATCTAGTCTTCCTGGCTGAGATCATGTGTAAGCATATTTTTGCTAGAAGTGATGTGAAGATCTGTTTAAATACCTTGTATGGTTTTCTTATTTAAATAACCTGAATTGACACTGACATGGGATCTGCCTTTGTTTCTAGTACTATGACATTTCTGCAAAGAGTAATTACAACTTTGAGAAGCCCTTCCTTTGGCTTGCCAGAAAACTGATAGGAGATCCCAATCTTGAGTTTGTAGCCATGCCTGCTCTAGCACCACCAGAGGTTGTTATGGATCCAGCATTGGCAGCACAGTATGAGCAAGATTTACAGGTAAGCCAACTTAAGTATATAGCTATATTTTGTGAATCTGTATGTCAATCACTTATGGCAAGCAACTTTTAAACCCTATATAACCACTACAGCCTCTTGCAGTGGTAATTTGTCCAATGGCTTTTTACAGGATTGGTGCTAATGCTGTAGTGGTTATGGTGATTGGAATGTTCCTTTAACATTTCAGTTTTTGCTTATGTAGCAAAAGTAGTCCTTTATTGTACTTTAACATTTTAAATGTGTAAAACTTTCATAGTGCCTTAAATTGGATAATTTACCAATTTGTAAGGTTCTTTCTTGTGATAAATCCACATGGTATGGAAAGAAGAATTACTGATCGCCCAAAACTTGGACGTATTATTTGTTTGAAACCAAATGCACAGGTCTAACATATGGTCTAACTGGAATATTTGCTTATTACTATGCAGAAAAATGTGCAATAAAGATCCATGATACAGATTAGTAATTTTTTTTTGATTAAGCTGATACCAAAAAACTTGTTAAACTTGATGAAAAAGCAGACAAATATGGATTTCAGATGCAGGAATTCTAATCTAATGACTAAATATTTTCTCAGATTGCTCAAACCACTGCACTGCCAGATGAAGATGATGATCTGTGAGGCGAATGAAGCTGGAGCCCAGCGTCAGAAGTCTAGTTTTATAGGCAACTGTCCTGTGATGTCGGTGGTGCAGCGTGTTTGCCACTTTATTATCTAGCAGAACATGTGCTTAATCTTTTTGGGATGCTGAAGGAGATGAGTGGGCTTCGAGTGAATGTGGCAGTTCTGAAAAAAAATTCCTTACTTCATATTTTGGACCTGCATATTTAGCTGTTTGGGACTGCAAATACTCTTCCCTCAAGTTACAATCTAAGTTAAGACTGCTACAGTCGCATCACAATATTCAGTGGTAAACTTTTGTTTGTTACTGTCATTCCCATACCTTTTTTCGTTTAGATCATAATAAAGTTGTATTTCGAATACCACTGCAAGTTACATTCCTGTTTAAATGTATGCATTAATTTTTTTTAAACATAAATTAAAGGTCTCCTAATACATGACATTACAACATCCCTTTGTAAGCTCCTCACTGTAAAATGCAGGGTTTCAAACTTCATGAGCTTTTGAGTAGAAATAAAGCCAAGGGGTGTGTTTATACACATTTTTAAACTTTTTTTTTTTTTTTTGCCATGTAATCACATTGTGCTTGATTACAATTATGTTGTCGAAAGGCAGCTGCACAAAATGTATTACAAGGTCTAGCTTGCATCAGCATGCTAGCAATTGAGGTACTGCTTATCACTTGGGGTGCATAGGGACTGCCCTGTCTATTCAATGGTAATTATTCAGAAAGGCTTGCAGTGAAGAGTAGCTCCTAGAACTGGCTAGAAAGTTTGAACATAGTCAGTTGGCTTTCAAATATATAGATTCGACGATTTTGAAGTTGTTTACTACCCTTTTGACCTTTTCCATGCACATGACCTGGCATTGCAATTTATGGGACAATTTTTACAAAAGATGTGCTGTAACTACCTATGTGCTTTGGGATAAAACTCCGTGCTAGCACAAAGGTAGGGAAACTAGATTTTCAGATGCATTCTAAATTTCTACATGTAGGGTATCAATGTAAAATGTTGGGTTATGGAGACTTTCAAAGCAGTGATGTCAACTTGAAACTCCTTATACATATATAATCTTTATAAAAACAAATGCTGCTGGAATTTATTTTGATTATAAATGCAAACTATGCCTTACTTTGTAGCAAACAATATAAGCCGTGCCCAAAAGATATTATAAACAAACCGTGTACCTAGCACACTTGTTGAAATATATAAATTTACATGCACTTGCTTGGAATCAGTAAATGTAGGTCTTAATTGGTTAGATAACACCTCCCCCCCCCCCCCAAAAAAAAAGAAGGGAAAAAAATGGTGCAATATATATAATTTATATTGGCAATAATTTGACAAATGGAAGACTAACTCGCCCTTTTCTGAACTACGAAGAGCTCTGCTGTATGTCACTTGGGCGATGAGTATTGTCAATATAAATTATATATTGCACTTTTTTTTTTTTTCTTAAAAATAAATGGTTATCTAACCAATTAAGACCTATATTAACTTATTGCAAGCAAGTGCATGTAAACTTGTATATTCCAACACAAGGGTGCTGTGTACACGGTGTGTTTATAATATACTTCTATCGTTTGGGTGCGGTTTATTGTATTTTATGCCAAGCTTTTTACTGTTAGCAAGACTTTGGGAATGTTTGCTGACTTACTGCTGCCACCTACTATAGTAAGCGCCTATCATTTTTTTTTATTTTTTTTGGCAAAATGTAGCAATGGTGGACTCCTGGCATGGGAGTCCACCAGGATCTGATAAAGATGTGTTGGTTCAGTATAAAATGTAATGCAGCTGACCATCTTTCCTATCTTAGAGCCTGAAGCGATGCTTCAAGCTCTTTTGGCAGTGCAGTCTCACACTAGCAGAAGTGGCCAGAGCCTCTTGCAAATGGTTTTACTACTTTCATGGAGACGGGTGCCAGGACATACCTAGCTCTGTATTAGCTACAGTGTGCTGTTGTAGTTATGGTGCTTGGTGTGTTAATTTAAAGAGATGTCTTGTCACCCCTATTTTGTGACACAACACCTCTTGGGTTCCTGCCAGCTTCTTTCCTGTAAACTGCTTGGCTTAATGTGAACGTCCATGGGTATGCCTTGGTAATCCTGTGTAAGACATTGAAGCGAGAGTTAACACCACAGACTGGTAAGCATTATGGACCTTAACCTAAACACCACTAGCCATTTTCAACTGCAGGTGTATAAACAAAAATTGGGAGACGGCAATGGAAAGAGGCATAGATCGCTCAGTGGGCTAATGCCTCAATAGAATTTGTTCAATCCTTGGGTTGCAGGTTCAAATCCTGACAGGGTTGACTCAGCCCATCATCCTTTCGATGTAGATAAAATGAATACCATTAAATTGGGTAATGGTAACAACACCTGGATGTTGGGTAAGGTAAAATCCCCAGGACGTACTTAAAAACCAGAGAAATCTGAATGTACCTTTCCTGGTTAGCTACTTTATGTAGTAGCAAGTAACTGTGAGGTGACAGCTGCTTAAATCTGTACAACTCTATACTGGTTTCATTTAAGAGGTATTTTAAATGGATATTCAAACCCTTTAACTTTATATTTAAAATGATCTATTGGGCACTATTCATTATATTCCTCATCCCGTGTAAATTCTGCAGCAAACCCTGGAAATCGGTACTGCTTTCCACACCTCTATCAAATGTTAGTCTCCAGCAGTACAATCAAAGGACCATTTCTGTGGGTCTGAATGCATGCGCACATTTTGAGAAGATGGTAATTACTATATAAAACTATGAATGGTACAGGGATGGCCAACCTCATTAACCCCTTAAGGACACATGACATGTCATGATACCCTTTTATTCCAGAAGTTTGGTCCTTAAGGTGCTAAAAGCTGGAAAAGCTTTTTCTTTAGCCAGTGATGACAAACATTGTTGCATAGAATATAGCACTTGGGTAGTATAAAACAGTTCCATGTGTCATGCCACTTGTGCCAGTGGTGTAAATAGACCCTGGCACAAAAAGTTTGTGCAGTGTTTAAAGCTGAAACATTGCACATGCAGACTCCTACCATCATGACCAATTCTAAAAGCTGTATTGCTCATGGTAGTTGGATATCTTTTAATGAATTCTACATGACCTGGCTAGTCACAAACCTATTAAAGCCCCAGGTCCACTGGCTTATTCTAGTGTACACAATGGACCCCATTTCTTGCCACTAAGAAATCTTTGAGCTGTTCAACTTGCATGTGCTGAAGCTGGCAGACTAGTCTTGATCCAAAAAAAACAACTTTAATGTATATTCTCAAATGCTGCTCTAAATTCATATTTTGTCAGCTAGCAATTTTAGTTGATTAGAATTTTTGAGCTTTAGTCAACTAATAGATTAAAACATTTCATATGACTAAAATGGCTTTAATACAGGAAAAAAAGTTATGGCACACTCAGTCTTCTAAAAATACATAACTAAGGCTACTATAAAACGTCTAAGAGAATAAATATGGGGATTTAGTTCCACCATATGATAGTAAGTCTACCACTGCTTCAAAGTACCCCAATGTCAGTGGGTCCTACGCTAATTACAAAATGTGGGAGACAAATTAAATAGTACTGGTGCTGAAAACAAGCTACAGTGTATTAAATTAATTTCTTTGTAAGAGCAAAGTGAGTATACAAAAATAAAGAGTGATAAAAGCAATTAAAAACAGTGTAACAACTAAAAGTGTTGGTGCTTGAATGAGTATACTCACATTTGCAGATATCTGGACTGTATGAAGAAAAAAAGTTACATGACTATAAAACTCCTATTTATACACACACCTGTGGCCACCTCTAAAGAGGCTTCTGAAGCTGGGGGGCCTGGGCGGGGTGCTTCCAAAGGAATCTGGTCTGGATTCCAAATATGTTTGCACAGAGCGATGCATATGGTGAAACTAAATCCCCATATTTATTCTCTTAGGCGTTTTATAGTAGCTGCCTTAGTTATGTATTTTTAGAAGTCTGAGTGTGCCATAACTATTTTTTTCTGTATGAATTTTGGTCACTGCGGCAGCACCTTTCTTGCATAATGCATCTCTCGGTTGTGCCCCCAATCTCTTCTGTGTAAAATGGCTTTAATGTAAAAAGATGAGAACTAAATCTAAATTTGTCACCAAAATTATCACTGCTCTAGATTAACATTCAACACAAGGTTTAAACTCTTAAAACCAGGTACAGACACTGAATAATTATCTCCAAAACAAATGGAAATTTATACAAGATCCACATCGGAAGTGTATCTTTGAGTAAAAGGCTGACAAACAGAACGACCTTTTAGCAACCTGCGGTAAAGGGCATCTTGAGTCAGATTAGGGATTAGAAAGCTGTATACAGAACTGTATGGCTAATACTAGATTGGGCACACTGTTCCTGCAAATTTTCTCAAACGCCTTCATCAGAATTGAGGGAGGGAGAAAAATCATAAAAGCCTATTATGTCTGTCCATTGGAAGGACATTGCATCCATATTCCACAGGTCCAAAGCTTCTAGGCAAAGACCCTTCCACCTTGTGCTGCCTTTGTGGTTGACATAAGCTACTGCTGTCAGATTGAATCATTACCAACACCCCTACGGGGTTCAAAGGAACTAGGTCTTCAAGGGCTATTTTTATTGCTTTCAATTCTAGCACATTTATGTGAAGAAGCCTTTCTTGAACTGATCAAATTCCTCTTATAGCTCCTTGGGCAGAGTACACACCCCATCCCTAACATGAGGCATCTGTGGTCAGGGTTAACTTGATGGGCCTTTCTAAAAGGGGACCAGGAAGTGGAATTGACCCAAACAAAATATCTTTTCGATCTTTTCTAACTCTCGTGGGAAGGACTGCCGTTGACTCCCACAAGCCACCCTGTCTCATTTGGTTTCCTAGAAACAGCTGACTTGGTCTGCACAACAAGGGGGAAACATTGTAACCCATATGCAATCAACCTCCCAGTAGTCTTTGCTAGCTCTCTGAGACCATCTGTGCTTTAAGAAAGCCAAAGCTAAATGAGCTAGTTATATCGCATCTATCACCGACAACACCCAAGGTTATATCCATGGTGTTCAGCATAAATACCAGAAATGACATGAGACTTGTAATGGCTTTCATTATCCTGGAAAAGGTGTAAGGTGCGTTGGATAGGCCAAACACTGTTACAGTCCAGTGGTATATCGGTTTCCTCCAGCTGAATCTGAGAAAGCGCCTGTGCTTCTTGGCTATAGGAATGGAAAGCATCGTTGAGGTTTAATTTTATGCAGAAAAAGTTCCTCTGGGAAGTTTGTTAAACCTTCCATCCTGAATCTATTCCTTTTTTGTAGAAAAGTGTTCAAAGCCTTGACATTCAGTACTGGTCTCCATGAACCATATGATTTTTGAATCGGGAACAAGGGACTGTTCCAACCTATAATTTATATATCTGTTTTCCCTTGAGCTAATGGCAAGAAAAGAGAGGTATCTAGAAATGGATTCACCTCTCTGCCCAGAGTCTGACTCTGGAATGGAAACCAAATAAGAGGGAGTTGTAAACCTCTTTTGAAAATCTGAAGCACCCATTTGTCTGAGGTTATATCTGACCAATTTTAAGGGATATGAGATAAACCGCTTATTTGATTGCATGGGTCTTCTTTTTCCAGATGAGTTCCTCTGATAATCCCTTAGGGTCTTGACCATGATGACGAAAGTATGCTTGCTGAGATGCTTCACAGGGCGATCCTCAAGCCCTGAAGGAGCGTCCCTTGGTCCGAAAGGGCTTCTTGTAACCTGGGAAGTGCTTCTTTAATCCAGAGAAAGATCTCCTAACCTTATATCGGCCTTTTACCTCTTGTTTAAAAGAGGGGCCAAATAGAAAAGTCTTCCAAATTAGGAAACTTGTGTGACTTAGGGGCCAAATCAGACATACCAGCGGCATGCAGCCAATGGGTTCTGCAAATGTTGCAAATCTAATTTAAGGATTGTCCAATCATAAGAACAGCTCTGCTGGAAGCTTTCAATAGTGCCATCTTAGAAGCCAATACAGTTGATACAGAAGTGATATGAGAGGATCCCTTTCTCTCTGCCTTCTCTAATATAAGTAAAAGGGGGCCCACAGCATCCA